CGAATTTTTGTTTACATTTGATCTCCACGTGAGAGGGAGAAGGAAAGCAATGAAACAAAGACGGTTAACAAGTGGGATTGATCGCCATGGAGAGGCTAGTGAAGGGGGTGCACGTGTTGGTATGTAGCCCGAACCTGTTTTTTTCCGTGAGCGGCTGGAAAGAAACTTTCCAGGAACTCCCATGTGTGCATACAAGCACACATCCCTTTCCACCTTCATAATTCTTTCGAGTCCGTGTTTATAATTGTGAACTTCCATTCTCAGACCTGTTCGTTCGTTGTTGCTTCCTTCAATTTCTAGCTTCTAGCAGTTCTCAGCAGGTACTCCCGCAGTTATGGCACATTTTTCATTTGTCCCGTCTGACCTGGGGGATTCCATTTCTGAATATTCCCTCTCTGCATGACTCCGTCTCCTATCGAACTTTTCCCATGGCTTTAGTCTTAATAGGGAAATATTTCTGATAACATAAAGAGGGAATGTAAACGAAACTCTGTTTTGACAAAAGTAAATTGAATCTGGTTACATGGATATTGTGTTCTGCCTGCTCCGGCCTACGGGGTAAACGAGATTATCCTGGCCTGTCATAAATCTCCAACTTCCGTAGCGATATGGATAAATCGTCCTGATACCGGTGAGGTCTGTGGTTGTGAGTAACGCAGGTGCTCGCCGCATTGCAATTTCATTTTTCTCATTTACTTAATGCGAAGGAAGGGGATCCTGCTGCCTTAACGACTGTTGTATGCGAGCTTCATTCTTTTGAAAGTAAAATTATTGTTCTTTTGAAAGTAAAATTATTGTTCTTTTGAAAGTAAAATTATTGATTTTGGTTCTTGTGTAGAAATACATGCCTTTTTTAAAAAGTAAATTGAAGAAAGAAACCTCGTATATCCCTAGTCCGAGAAGCAATGGAATTACTGTAAAGTTTTTAAATTGTATTGTAAAGTGCAAGAAAACTGCTTTCTGGTCGCCTACCTTCGATTGTCAGCGTTTCTGTCATCGAAGAAACCCAGAAATTCCAGGTAAATTATATTTTTATGGAGTAGCGTGAAAACCACGCTTTTCTCACTCACTTTGAAACTCGAATCAGCTCTGTTTTTTTTTTTAATTGTTGAACAGGCTAAGGAAGAAGAGATTTCCTTCCTATGTCGAAGAAAATGTCAGAGATGTTCTCCTGTGTTCAGTGCGACTGCACTTCGACTTAGCACCCTAGGGAATATGGAAAAGTCAATAAGTATTCTACGAGATTTCCCATAAACAAAGGAAAACTTCTGCGATCACCTGGTGTAAGGTGCCACCTATATTCGTGTAATGTGTTATACCAAGTCACCGTGCTATTGGCCAGTTATTTACTTGCTGATAACTATAGCTTAAATACGCCGATAACTCAGTTCGTTTGCGTTAAAATGAGCTTTGGCATCCACGTGTACATTGATCAATCATTCCTTATCAAATCAACCTACAAGTGCAGCATTGATTATTTTGATAGAATGCTGTGGTATTGTGAAACATTTACCAGAAACCATGCGGGTTCCCACATACTCCCTTTTTCTGAAGATTTGTGCGAAACAGTCCTCGCTCTATATGAAGCCATCGTCTGCTGCCTACTGGTTAGCCTTCAGACGTTTTTCCAGTCATGTGCGGTGGATCCATTCAATGTCGACGTTTCTGCCCCGATCCGGAAAGAATCCACTGCAATAACATTCATTTTGAATCCCTGTAAAATTTGGAGTATGCTCTTTTTTGCTAGATGAAGACAGAAGAGATCTGCTGTGTTGTCACCTCGATGGTAGCTTAAGAAGTAATCTAAGGTTCAATCTGCCCACGTAACCAGTAGCAGCCTCGTCATGTTGCAATGTTGAAGCAGACTTGGATGACATTTCAACGGTTGAGAATCAATTCAACGAATATTGCTGGTATCCAAAAGTAACCACTATAACCCGTGATTTGTATCATTTGCAGACTCATCTTTTGTGGATGGAATTCAGGAAATGTTGTGGAAACTTGTTTTACAGGTGCGTCTGTTCGGCGGGATACACGGGGGATAGGTGCGATTCCCCGTTTGTTCCCTGTCAGCCAAGCCCCTGCGTTAATGGAGCCACGTGTCAGATCATCGACGAGTACAACTTCAAATGCATCTGCCCATCAGGTAAGGCACGCCGCCAGTTCCTCAACCTGAACCCTGTAGTTAGAGTGAATGAATTGTACGTTCGCCTCCCTTCGCAAAAGTCTTGTCACTCATCAGGTGCTCGCGTCGCCCTCTCGCAGACAGGAGCCATTTGGCCTGGTTTGGCACTCCTGGAGCACCTTGAAAGAATAGTGGTTTTTTTTGTATATCCCGTATTTTCATTGGGAGGGGGGGGGGGGGTTCATAGGTGGCGATTTGTTGAGACATACGGAATCACCATTTTCCTCTAAAGCTCATGTTGATGATTGCAGTAACTTTCTCGCTTGCATAGAGGCTGAGCGTTGTTAGCATATCTCGTAATCTGCGACGAATTAATTCTTAGGACAAGTGGAAGTTCAGAAAGTTAGCCCTGATTTAAAGGTTACTATGAGTACTTGTACTCCCTTTTAGCTGCTAACGGGCTTTTAGTCCCCTCGCATAAAATTCCGTTAGCAACTAAAAGGAAGTACAAGAGCCCATTCCAAGACGCTACAGTGCGAATCGAGAAGAATAGTGGTATGATTTTCCGTTGGAAGCCTTCTCGTGACGATCAGTTTGACCATACCTGTCTGTTCACGAGCTAGGACGCGGGTCTGCCGACATATACGTCACTATGAGGCGCGTAGTTCGCAAGATTTTATTTATTTAATTGGAGATCGAGGGAGAACAATAATGATCTAACGGTTTGTTGACGCTGCGCCTCCGCGTTGAATGAATGAGTAGAGAGGCCGTGGGGGGTGGAAAGTGGATTTATCTGGTTTTCATTGCATCGAAATCGGATCGGCTGTGGGGATATCTCGAGTGGCTCGCCTTTTTCAGTCATTTATCCTCGGCTCCAGTCTCTCTTTTCCTTTGGTTTATCAGACTGGCAAAACCAGTCTCCCGGTAGTATCTATCAACAGGAAAGAGAAGGGCTTTCTTTGTTTCCTCTTTTCCCCCGGAGGATCATGGAGGAATGAGATCACAGTTCACTCAAGGCTATAAGGGGGGAGTGGCAAGGAATATTGCTCTCCTTTAGCCATGGAATCATTTCCTTTTCTCTCGCTATCCGGACCCATCCTGTGTACTTCACGCACGGTTTATGTGGCTGTAAACTGAGGTTATCTTGTTGAATCAGGAGAAGGAAACTTTATGAGACGGAGTGATCGTTAAGTCATTCCGGGTCTGGAAGAGAAAGTAGTAGTACCGGTACTCAACCGGTCGATGATCCATCTAGTGCAATGCTGGCTGTCAGAGTAGGTATACCTCATCAGTTTTTTTTCTTCTAATGTCGTCTTAATGAGTCTTACCGATTTAAATGAAACTCCTTTCGCATTTGCATTCGAAGCAAGATGGAAATCCTAGTCAGAGGCTCGAGAATGGGAAATCTAGTCACGACTTTCTTCCAGAAAACTCTTCGGCGTAGAAAAAAAAGCGAAAAAAGTTGAGTGGCCCTTGAGTATGATCTGCGACTCTTTGGATGATTGCCAGTCGAATAAAACATCATCCCCAGTCGTGTCAATGGGCCCATTCACGTGGATGGCCGATAATCTCTCTCTCTCCCTCTATGGTGGAGGAAGATGACTCGCCGCTCTTTCTCGCAATAATTACCCCCGGCATGATGATTGGTGTTCTGATGCAACGTCATGTCTATTATTCTAGATGACCATTCCACTCCCTTTGACGCCAGTGAGGGGAGTTGTATTTAAATACGAAGGACGACCTCGCAAAAAGAAAAACATTCGCTCCCTCTGTCATTCGCTTTCACTGAGTTTCATGGTTCTATATGCATACTTACGATGAAACGGTAACGATCTAGCGAAGTACTAAATCGGAGAAGGAATAGGAGAAAGAAGGGGGATGAAGATTTTTTTTTTTTTTAATTCTGCTTCTTCTCAGGCAAAGAAGCAGCAAGCATCCGAGCCCTGAGAACTTTCTCACAGTGGCTTGGAATCGTGCGTGAGTCGACTCCCACGACATTCTTGCCAAGGGGATCTCGCCCTTAGATCCCATCCCCACATGATCTACGTTCGCCTGACGCTCGTAGCGCTCGAGGCTCGACCTCTGACTGACTTGACTGTTCCGTCTCTCCTCTCTTCCCGTCTCCTCTCCCTCTTCTTGACACATGCGAGGGGAAAAGGTCATTTCCCATGCTAAGTTGCGATATATCCACCGCCGCACATTCCTCACACGGAGTCATTCTCACCTGATTCAAGGATTTTCTCATCTTCCTACATGCCCACAGGAAGGATTTGATTGGATTATGTTTGTTTCTGCGACTTAGCATGAGAGGCGTTTCCCATGAGCTGCTTCATGGTATTACTACTTCGGAGAGTTTTGTCAAATAATTTTATTATTATTATAATGTGCATTTGTTTCAATCTGTAAGGTTAAATTGGAGTGGTGTCATTGAAATGAAGAGTTCCGTCTTGATGTTTACATCAGGTTTCACGGGAAAGTTCTGCCAAGAGAACATCGATGACTGCCCTGGTCATACGTGCCTGAATGGAGGCACTTGTCTGGATGGCGTCAATTCCTACACATGTCAGTGTCCTCCCAACTTCACTGGACCGTTCTGCTCCGAGGTTCGCATTTCTCTCTCTCTCTCTCTCTCTCTAAACGTTCGGGAACGACAAAATCCTCTTCTTGATACCATTCCCGTGGAAAGATTTACAGTCCATTGTCTTCTCCGTTCGCGGCCGGACCGCCAAAGAAATTTTCTGCTACGTGCCGTGAAAGTGTAAAATGTCACATCATGACCCTTGGGGATTTATTCGGTTGGAAGGAAGCAGAAAGGAGGGCTTACTGTATAAGTATACGAAATGCTATTGCATATCGGTGACATATATCGTGATGCATGCAGGACGTGGATGAATGTTCACTACGGCCATCGATTTGCAAGAACGGGGCGACTTGTCACAATACGAAGGGCGGATACATCTGCATTTGCGTCAACGGCTGGGCGGGCCAAAACTGCGACGAAAACGTGGACAACTGCATTAACATCGTTTGCATGAATGGAGCTACGTGTATCGATCGTGTCGGCTCCTTCGTCTGTCAGTGCCCACCTGGGATCACCGGTTTGTGTCTTTCTCGTTTTTTGTTTTTGCTTTTGTCTGTCTTTCATGAGGGTATGCAAGAGACTTGCATTGGGTCGTGTAGGGATATACTGTCACCTGACGGATGCGTGTGCGTCGAATCCTTGTGCATCAGGAGCAATCTGTGACACGATCCCCGTTTCTGGAGCCTATAAGTGTTCCTGCCCTAAAGGCTGGACTGGACAAGATTGCACTGAAGATGTCGATGAATGTGAAGAAGGTATTACATTTTACTATTCTCCCCATCTTATATTCTTCTTTCCTGTTGCCCCCCCACCACCACCGTTGTGTGCCGCATGTTGCTTATCTCTTGCAACGAGGATTACCCTGTGGAAAAGTGCCAAGCATGAATCGTTTTCCTACGACGGCATGAATAATATGAAGTCTCTCTTCATTCTCACTCGCGGAATTCCATGGATGAAAGAACGAGGAAGGCTCATGTTCCCTTTTGCACTTATCCTCATTCCAGCTTTGGAACTGATCATGAGCCTATGGTTCTCTGATTTGCTTGGAACCGATTGGAAAGCATGACTTTCGCGATGAGTTTATCATGAGGCAGTTTAGCACATTCCTCGTTTTAAAAACGAATCTCTCGCAGTAAAAGGTACGGAACAGTATTAGGATTGTATCATAGCAAAGTAGCCCTATTAGGGAAAACATTAAAACAGTTGCTGTTCATATTTACAATACGGTAGCTGCAAACAGCAGAATTTTCGTATTTCAAATAGGCATATCCTGCAGTAAAATATTTTGAAAATAGTTTCTCATTTGAGCACCCAATTGGCAGATCCCGTACGATAGGGGTCACGTTCAGTAAGGAGCATGTGACTGGGTTATTTGAGACGTAGTTGCTGATGGTGAACATATTGTCGACGCAAAATGAGCAGGGTTCCCTCCAGTACGCCATGCCGTATTCGTAATAAGCTTACAGTTCTTGCGGTACAAGCCCTCTACCCTTGAATTTCATTTTTCCCAAGCACATCCCAATAAGACCCTGATCGTTCAGCAAATCGAGTCTTCATTTTCTCTTTCGCATTCATTAATTTCAGTTCCATTTTGCGTCGTATTTTTTATTTACTGTTGGTACAAGAATGATATGATAATCTGACCTCGATAGTTATCACTCACATCTTCGTCGTCCATAATATTGCGGAACGTGTTCTCCTGCGCATGTATTTCCATGATATTGGTCACGGGGCACGAGCAGTCGTTATTCTTGAGAAGGGTAAATTCGAAGAAAGATAAAAGGTAAAAAGTAAGGAAAGGTAAAATTCAAATTTCAAAATGCTATTCAGCACCCTATTTATGGTATTTTCCTTCATGCTTTGGATACTTCAGCGCATTAGAACGGCTATTTTAAATCATTTTAGAACACGGTAAGTCCTTGATAATTATGAGCTCATTGCGATTGCCATCGAATGAAAGCATCATGCTCTCGAAAGTTATGGCTGGCCATCAGCTGTGTGAAGAGAAAAAAAGTTCTCGGGAAGCTGCTGCTTTGCGCTAATTTTTCTCCTGTCTCACACAGAACTGTGGGTGTCTAGAGGTGTGACCAGTGAGTTCCCCTTCCCACAACTGCTAGGGGGACATTTTTTGCATGAAATACTAACCTCCCTTTCCTATTCTGCCCTGTCGAATAGTCGACAAGGAGCAAAAGAGAAAATCCGAGGTCGAATGGAAGTAGCGACAAGGAAGCTTGTCCACTCTCGGTTTACTTCTCGATATGCACTAACCTTTGTTCTTGCTTGCTCCTTTCATGCATGAATGCTTATTTCATATGACCTGTTTTAATAATCGAGGAGCCGAATGTAATGATTCTTCTGTGCTGTTGTGATCAGGTTCGCCGTGTGAGCACGACGGGAAGTGCGTGAACGTGCCAGGATCGTTCGCATGTCAATGTGCAGCCGGGTTCACGGGGCCACGATGTGAGCTCAACATCAACGAATGCGACTCAAATCCTTGTCACAACGAAGGCACATGCCTGGACGAGAGAGGTGCTTTTCGATGCGTCTGCATGCCCGGTGAGTCTACTACCTATTCCTCACGTCATTTCCAAATCGATGCCGCTCGAGGGGATAGGAGGGAAAAATCTCTTCCGAGAAGAGCTGCGTGCTGCGGGTCAGATTTTTTCCCCCCCGGCTTTGTTTCTTTGGAAAGCGGCTGCGGCGCCGTTGCTGCCGATTTTTATATGACGAGAATGATGATGATGATGAGAATGAGATCGAGATGAGCACTGCCTAAGGGTGAGGCTACAAGTAGCGAGTTTTGGGGCGGATTTCACCCGATGGCGGTGTTGTTCTTTGTCGATTCCTCGGTGTCCGTCGGGGGAGCGAGCATGGCCTGTCTGTCGTTCCACTCCCCTTGTTTTCGTGGGAGATTTCTCAAGCATCTGCGCTTCCATGCCGAGGGCGAAGGACACTTGTTCTTGCGTTCTCTGACCAAGGTCCTCTCTTCACCCCCCTTGGAGAGCTCCTCGCGCGCCACATCTTGGAACCGTCGTCACCAGATTCAGCTCATTTTTCTGGTAAACATTTATCGAGAAAGGAAAATCAAAGAGGGTGCGGCAGGGGCAGAATGGAAACAGAAGCTGGAGATCATCCGTTGCAATCGGGACTTCCGGCGAGACGCAGGTGAAGCGAAAACCGTGTCATGTCATGTAGCATTGAAGTCCATGTCTGACTGGACCCCACGGTTTCCTTCCGGTCAAATCTCGCAATCCTTTTTCCCACTGTTTCATCGAGCACTAAACTCTCATTCGCTTCTAAGGGAATCATTGCCCCTGGGTCTTGTTTACTTGCTAGTAAGAATCAGAGCATCGGTTCGAAGGTTGCACAAGGGGTGGAAAAGGGGGGGTGAAGTGTGTGTGTCGAGGACGTGAAAGGGCAATGAGGTTTCAGGTGAAGCTCTCAGAGGGTGGGGACGAGGGAAGAAATCGGAAAAAAGATGCCTCCTTAGGGGCTCAGGGAAGCATTGTCAAGTCCGTGAGAAAGGAATAGGAGTCGTGGGACTTGGCGCCGTAAGGACGGGAATCGCGTGTCCGCCGCCGGGAGGGTTCCTGACACCTGCCTGCGCCTCCCCTCTCCGGGCCCTCTCTTTCTCTCTCCTCTTCAACCGATAAACAATTTCCCCGTCCTCTCCTAGCGATCCGACTGAAGCGGCCTTGTAGTCAGTGGGAACTGGCTTCCCGGGCCACTCTAGTCGTCAGGGGTGATTTCAGAGTTCGTTTTAATTTTGCCCCTCCATTCTTGCCTGTTCGTCACCCCTCATCGCCCAGGCTTCGTTTTGCAAGCCAATCAGTGGCTGGACGATGCATCGATTGAGCATTAAGCATATTGTGTGCCAAAAGAGATGCTCTCAGGCGGAAGTTCTCTCACGCCGCCTGGGTGGGATTCACTCTCCCTTTCACGAAGTCACTTTACGGGGTTTAAAAAATGTAATGCCATGTCCATCGATTTCTCTATTCAAAGTCCATTGAGATCCTCAATGTAGGTCTATTAATAATCCCGAGGCCATCTGCATAAAAGGTTCTCTCTCCCTCGTGCTCTCTTTTTTTTTTTCAATGGTGACCAGGCGAATAATGAAGAGCCATTATGCAAATGACAGCCAGAACGCGAGAAGCTGGCCTGACACGGTTACAATTTCCAGATCTCTCGGGGACCCCTGGGTCTCATCCGAATGACTTGTGGGTGAGAATAGATGGAAATGGATGAGATGGCACGTTGCGCTCATCTTCGTCAATAAGGGGACATGCGTGAGCCTGGCCCTGGGGCCTGGAACCTGGAGCCTTCTTACTTTCTCTCCAAGCCTCTCATGTCTATCTGTCTTTCGACCTTTGGGGAATGAACCCCTTCCATCATCTCCGTCGTTGGAGTGATAATTGGAAGGTTGGATTGGATGCCCTGCCCGGGTCACACTCTTCCAGAACTCCGCTCTCAGGCGCCTTTCCCAAGCATATTAAGATTCAGATTGTTTCCTTTCGTATATCGACATGCGGGGGTTAAAAGAAAGGATCTTAGGATTCAGTGAGTCTGCACTCATGGGATGTTCTGGCAAGTTACGTATAACCTGTGAAAGTAAGAAATTGGCTGCATAGAATAGACAGGAATTTCATTGTTTGACTCCCCCTTCCCCCCTTTTTTTCTGGGAGGAATGCCTAGTCTTGAATATGTAGCACTTACAAAAAAGAACAAATTCGGTTAAACTAAAATTGAATTTCTTAATTGCAGGATACACCGGAACCCAATGTGAGCAAGATGTTGATGAGTGTATTCCGAATCCGTGCTATAATAATGGAATCTGCGCCGATTTGATCAACGACTACAAGTGCCACTGTCCAAGAGGGTTCGCAGGCAAAAGATGTCAGATCAACGTCGACGATTGCGTCAGCTCACCTTGCGGCAATGAAGGGAGATGTCAGGATGCGGTGGCTGGATACAAATGTGTTTGCAAACCAGGTTTCACAGGTGAGTCCTTATCCTCTTCAGACTTGGATGAAAGTAATAGCCGTTGGATTTGGCACAAATACATGCAACTCGAATTTGAAGGGGTTAAATTAGAGTCAAATGAAGATTGACGTCGATCTGTCGAGACTTTAGAGTCAGCTAAGTTCCTTGATTGCCTTCTGCTAGGTGTGAACTGTGAGGTGAACATCAACGATTGCCAAAGCTCCCCCTGCCATCATGGAGATTGTCGGGACATGGTCAATTCATTTCGCTGTGATTGCCATGCTGGATACAGTGGTCTTTACTGCCAGACACAAATCGACGAGTGCCGATCTGATCCATGCAAGCATGGAGGAACTTGTCAGGTACTGTACTTTCACTTCCCTTCTTAGGATCTATGGACTTGGACCCAATATACGATTCTGTTTCTTTCTCTAGGATCTGATCAATGGATATCAGTGTCGCTGTCCTCCTGGCACCAATGGTCCGAACTGCGAAATGAATGTTAATGAATGTTTCAGCAATCCTTGTCGAAATGGTGCTTCCTGCATTGATGGCATCAATGGATACACTTGCAAATGTCGACCTGGCTTTACAGGTGATTAGGCATCTTTCCAATGAAATGGTTTTGGACCTGTTGTAGATTCCGCTAATTTCATATTCTTGTCTTCTGCAGGTGTTCATTGTGAGACGAATATCAATGAATGTGCTTCAAATCCCTGTGCTAATGGAGGGAAATGCATTGACCTCATCAACAAGTTCAAGTGTGACTGCCCAAGAGGATACTATGATGCAAAGTAAATGTCCAGAAATTTTCCTCTTTTAAGTCTGCCTTGTGTGTATCTGAAGGTGAGAGTCACTTATTCATGTCATTCTTGCCTCCAAAGATGCCTTTCGGACGTCAACGAGTGTGCAAGCAATCCTTGTCAAAATGGTGGCACATGTGAGGACGAAGTCAATGGGTTTCATTGTGAATGCCCTCCTGGCTACACAGGCTCCCGATGCAACATGGAGATTTATGAATGTGGATCTAACCCTTGTCAGCATGGTGGGACATGCCGTGATCGTCTCAACTCCTTCACATGTGAATGTACCCCTGGTGAGTGACCTTAATGTAATTCTGTGTTTGTTGATGTGACAAGCAGGAAGGAATTACAGATGATATGAGAATGGTTCTTATTCAGGTTATACTGGGAATATGTGTGAAACCAACATTGATGACTGCAAACAGCAACCTTGTCACAATGGTGGGACATGCATTGACAAAGTCAGCGGATACCAGTGTGTCTGCGTAGTTCCATATACTGGTAGGGACTGCACTGAGGAACTCAATCCTTGTGTTCCTAACCAGTGCAAGAATGATGCAACATGTACCCCTGCCTTGGATTTCTTGGACTTCTCCTGTTCCTGTGAGCTTGGCTATACAGGTTAGCTCTTATAGTTGTTCAGCTTCATGCTCAGGTTGGCTGCCAGTTGATCTTTCATGTCTGAGTATTAATGGATGTTTTAAGTTTACCAAGGAGAGTAGTGTTTTGATCGAAGGAACACTAGATGTTTACATGAAATTTTTTTAAAATTTGTTTAAATGAATTTTGAAAAAAGGTCAGCCTCTGAACTACTGTCTGGTTGAGGTAGTATGACCTCTCATGTTGGATACATCTTGTTTTAGGTCGTCTGTGTGATAAGGATGTGGACGAATGTGCAGCTTCGACATCTCCTTGCCATAACGGGGCAACTTGTCACAATATCAATGGTTCCTATGAATGCATCTGTGCCAATGGATATGAAGGCAAAGATTGCCTGATTAACACTGATGACTGTGCTTCTTGTGAGTTTCCCTACCACATGTTATCCAACCTTCAAGGGTTCCTTTTAAATGGTTTAAATTCTTTATTGTCTATCTGTCAACATTTCAGCTCCCTGCTCAAATGGAGGCACTTGTGTTGATCTGGTGGGGCACTACGAGTGTCAGTGCGCTGTTGGTTTCACTGGGGAGCGATGTGAAGAAGACATCAATGAGTGTGCATCTCAGCCATGTGAGAATGGAGCAACGTGCACAGACTATGTCAATTCCTACACTTGCACGTGCCCTCTTGGATTCTCTGGCACTAACTGTCAAACCAATGATGAGGACTGCACTTCCAGTTCCTGTCTTAATAGTGGCACTTGCATCGATGGTGTCAACAATTACACATGTCTTTGTGCATCAGGGTGAGTGATGCAGTATTTGCATTTCATGATTTCCATCATGTTCATTGTTTTTTTTATTCAAGTTGGTGTGTAAGAAATGCAAGAGTCACATGTACGTCTCAGTAGTCTTAAGTTGAAGGTTTTGAAAAATGCTAAAGCCAGCTCAAGGGAATTATTTCAAATTTTAGTATCACCAATCAGCAGTTTTGGGAGTACTGCATGTAAAAAATAATGGTAATAAAAATGATAATGGTATGTGGTTATGTCTTTTCAAGCAGTGGTGTACTTTCTCATCTCATCATAAGACTGATTTTCTCATCCTTTATGAAAAGTTCAAAGAGGAATTAGAATGAGACAACCACTGTTGATAAATCCTCCATCCAAATAATTGAATGGTGCTACTGTGTTCATGGAGGCACCATAACTGCTGTCTTTTATTTCCATTAAAATCTGGGCTTTCCTTTATAGGTTCACAGGTTCCAATTGCCAGTACCCCATCAATGAATGTGACAGCTCTCCATGTGAGAATGGAGCAACTTGTCTTGATCAAGTGGGCTACTACACATGCGTTTGCCCATATGGTTTCATGGGGCCACGCTGCTCAGAATATGTGGATTGGTGTGCTACAAAGCCCTGCTTCAATTCAGCAACTTGCATGCAGAAGGCCAATACCTATTCCTGCATCTGCATGCCTGGTTGGACCGGAAAACTCTGTGATGTAGAGATGGTGTCCTGTTCTGATGCAGCTTTGCGTAAAGGTAAGGAGATATAACTTATCTGCATAGTCATCATGTCAAGGTCATAACTTGACAAGACTTACCATAGCATTGAAAGTGTTTGTATCAGTTACTTAGTTAATGAAGTAAGAGGGGGAAATTTATTGTGTGCATTTATCAATTATTCCAGCTGAAGCATTATTTTAAAAAAATGGACCTTTCCCTCAGGTGTTGCTGTGGAAGAGCTCTGCCAGCATGATGGCAATTGTGCAGACATAGGCAATTCTCACTTCTGCACTTGTTCACCTGGATATACAGGCTCCTATTGCCAACATGAAATCAATGAATGTGCAACACCTTCATCACCTTGCCTGAATGGAGCAACTTGTCAGGATTTGATAGGAGACTATAAATGCATCTGTCAGAAGGGCTTCCAAGGTCAAAATTGTGAATTCAACATTGACGACTGTGATCCAAATCCTTGCCTTAATGAAGGCATATGTCATGACTTAGTGAATAATTACTCCTGCTCATGCCCTCATGGTACTCTGGGGATGTATTGTGAGATCAATGTTGATGATTGCTATGAGAATGCTTGTCATCATGGAGGCACCTGTATTGACAAAGTTGGTGGTTTTGAATGCAAGTGCCCACCTGGGTTTGTGGGCAGTAGATGTGAAGGAGACATCAATGAATGCCTTAGCAATCCATGCTCAGCTGAGGGAACACAGGATTGCATCCAGCTGATAAACAATTACCGCTGTGAGTGTAAGGCAGGATACATGGGTCGTCATTGTGAGCTGAAGATCAATTTCTGTGAGAATGGACCTTGCCATAATGGAGGCATCTGCACATCTCATGCCAGTGGCCACTCTTGTTTGTGTTCTCAAGGATACACTGGCCTTAACTGTGAATTCTTGGGCTCTGAATGCGATCAGGAACCCTGCCTGAATGGAGGGACATGTCGACCTTACAAGGATGGCTTCAGATGCACTTGTCCTATTGGCATTGGTGGCATATACTGTGAACTTGATGTGACAGATGAATGTGATCCTGATCCTTGTCAGCATAATGGCCAGTGCTTGAACCGCCTGGGCTATTTTGAATGCAATTGTCCTCCCACTTGGAGAGGCCTGAGGTGTGAAACTTATGACAAGTCTTTCCTTGGGGGCATCACCCATGAACCAAAGAAACCATCAAAGAATAGGCCAAATCAAGATGTTAGGGCAGAACAAGAGCATTGCAAAATTGAAAACTGCAAGGAGAAAGCTGGGAACAGGAAGTGTGATAATGAGTGCAACTCATATGCCTGCAACTTTGATGGAGGCGACTGCAGTCTAGGTATAAATCCATGGAGCAACTGTTCTGCTCACATTAACTGCTGGGAAGTCTTCATGAATGGGGAATGTGATGTTGAATGCAACAATGCTGGATGCCTCTTTGATGGAAGGGATTGTGAACGAGAACTCCAGCAGTGCAAGTAAGTGCACCTTCTGTCTGTTATTAAAGAAATGAGCTGTTCATTGGAGATTTCTAGCTTCATTCACTAATTTGTTTGCTCTTTGTTTCTGCAGTACCATCTATGATGCTTATTGTTTGGAGCATTATGACAATGGTCACTGTGACTATGGATGCAACTCGGCTGAGTGTGGCTGGGATGGTGGTGACTGCTCTACAACTGCACCAAATTTGGCCATAGGTGCCCTGCAAATAACCATCTTGATGGACTTGACTGAGTTCCGCAATCATTCTGCAGCCTTCCTCAGGGAAATTGGCCATCATCTTCGAACAGTTGTCCACATCAAGAAAGACCAATTTGGAAACAACATGATTTATCCCTGGGGACCAGACAAGAGCACCTTGGAAGAATTCTCTCTTCTCTATCCTTTTATGGCTTCTGGTGTGACTGTGTATCTGGAGATAGACAATCAGCAATGTCAGGCTGACGGAGACGAATGCTTTGCATCAGCATCACAGGTGAGATTTCATTTACAGGGAGTGTGTACATTCTTGAATGTTTGAATTATTGAACTGACTTGAGTAATATTATAGAACTAGAAATGATTATTGGAGAACTGCAACAGAAGCAAAATGTTAGTAATTAAATATTCATAGTAAAAATATTTTTAAGGGGTAGGGAGCAGCAGTATTAAATTAGAGTTTTGCAATGGTATGTTGCAGCTCAAAATCATTCTGATTTTAGCAAACCATATGTGTGCTATGGTTTGCTATAATCTGGCAGTTCCCTCTGGCATCAACCACAATTGCGAATGATTTGAAGACAACTTGTTTTGTATTCACTTGAGTTGTGAAGTGAGGGTTTTCTATTTGCAATAGTTATTATTAACCCTTGCAATGCCAAATTACCTGGAAGGTTTTCTTCATATGACAGATATGTCACAATGGCATGATAAGGAATAAGTTCAGGAGAATTGGGAATATTTATTGAAACATACCCAAGGGATTAGGAACTTACATATAGAATCCTGGATTCCTTGTGAATGATACTATCTGGAAATTATGTCAAAAACATTAATGATTATGCTGATAAGTCTTATGAATTTGTGTACAGCCTTTATTTGATATATATTTTAACGATTTCTAACCCTTCCCTTTTTCTTTCTTCCTAGGCTGCCCAGTTCCTTGGAGCAACTGCCTCCACACATGCTCTTCAGACAGGGTTCCCTATCTATCAAGTATCAGGAGTTGAAAGTGGTGGAGGATCACGTGGTGGTGAAGGTGGGAGTTCATCCACCCAAGTTGCCTATTTCCTAGTGGCTGCTCTTGCTGTCCTCATTGCTGCAATCCTTGCTGGAGTCCTCATCACTGGTCAAAGAAAAAGAGCTCGTGGAGTCACTTGGTTTCCAGAAGGATTCTTCAAGAATAGCAGGTAAGAAGCATGTCTGATGAGTTCACAAGAAGTCAAGAATGGGTCACTTTGAGGGGATCATTCTGTTGGCTCTATTGTTTCAATGTATCATTTGCTCATCCCCTCTTTCAGTGCAAGTGGGATTCGCCAGCAGAGTCGTCGCTGCCCTGATGGTCAGGAGATGAAGCATTTGCCTAAGGTCCCCTCATCTCACCGCATCACAGATCTGGCACCCAGTGAGATGTCCATTCCAGCAGATTTTGGTCAATGGTCAGAAGATGAGGAAGAGCATCCACCAAGCAAAAGGATGAAGGTGAGACCTTAGATCATACCATTTTCCATGCATTAATGAACCAAATTCTGGCTATATTGATTTCTGTCACCTGCAATGCATTCTAGTCGGAACAAGCAGGATATTCAAGTGACCATACCTGTATCACAACGGATTATGATGAAAATGATACCCGGCCTTGGACTCAGCAACATCTCAAGGCAGCTGATGTCTACCGTCCTGAAAATTTTGCATTTACACCTCCTCAAGGACAGGTATGTTTATCCAATTTTTTTTTTCCCCCCCCTCAAAGAATCTTGTTAGTGTTTACTTAATATGGGGATTCTCTTGAAATGAAATATCAGATAATTTGTTTCCCATTGAGGGAATTGATTCAGTTGTGGTTTTTTATGATCATGTTATGGTTTTCCTCAGCATGCTGAGCCTGGGCTGGCAGACATTGATGTGAGAGGACCAGGTGGTCTGACACCTTTGATGGTTGCCTCCTTCCGTGGAGGAGGACTGGATACTGGAGAGGAAGAAGGAGGGGATGATGATGGGTCAGCTCAAATCATCCAGGATCTCTTGATGCAGGGTGCCAACATTTCTGCAACTACTGATAGGACAGGTGAAACTTCTCTTCATCTGGCTGCTCGAAATGCTCGTGCTGATGCTGCCAAAAGGCTGCTTGAGGCAGGAGCAGATGCCAATATGCCTGATGCAAGTGGGCGGACTCCTCTTCATGCTTCCATTGCTGCAGATGCACAAGGCGTCTTCCAGGTATTTAGAATCAATATTTAATTATGTGCATGCAAGTTTTTTCATTCCATTCATGGTAAATTTTAATCCCAACAGATCCTGTTGAGGAATCGTGCAACGAACTTGAATGCACGCACAAATGATGGGACAACCCCCTTGATACTGGCTGCCCGCCTAGCTATAGAAGGGATGGTTGAAGATCTTATAGGTGCCGAAGCAGATGTCAATGCTACAGATGAAGCAGGGAAGTCAGCATTACATTGGGCTGCAGCTGTAAACAATGTTGATGCAGTCCGCATACTCCTTGCCCATGGTGCTAATCGTGATGCTCAAGATAATAAGGTGAGTATTTCAGAATGGTGGGTTTCAGAATTCAAGGGGAAGCTAATCTCATGCATGTGGTTTTTCATGGTCAATTCTTCCATTTGTTGCAGGATGAGACACCCTTGTTCCTGGCTGCAAGAGAAGGCAGTTATGAAGCATGTCAAGTTCTCCTGGATCACATGGCCAATCGTGATATAGGTGATCATATGGACCGGCTGCCACGTGATGTGGCCCAAGAACGCATGCATCATGACATAGTGCGATTGTTAGATGAACATGTGGTGAGAGCATCACATCCTCCTGCAGCTGCCACCTTACACCCACAGCTGCTTCACCCACACACAACCACTCTTCCTCCTGCTCGTCCTCCTAAACCAAAGAAGAGGGTGAAATCTGGTCCTGGGACACAAGTAACCAGTCCTCAGAGTGAAGGGTGCTTGTTGAAACGCAAGGGAAGCACCAAAGGGAAAGTGGAGAAGAAAGAAGAAGACTCACCTATTGCTAATACGCCCATGTCCCCATATGAAATGAATGGGAACCCACTTTTCCTGGGTGTGCACAATGGACTAGGGATGTCTCACCCCAACCTTGCATCCTTGTCTCATTTGTCCCAAGTGCAGCACCAACAGGTACAGCAGCTTCCAAGCTATGAGGAAGCCATAAAAAATGCTACTATTCATAGCTTGGCTCTAGAACCTGGAAGTGCTTTCAGCAACATCCCTCCTGAGCATATGTTTTCTGGGATCTCTCACATAAGGCAGGGCTCAATGCCACCATTATCAATGGCTCAGATGCATCCCCAATTCACATTTGTGCCTGGCTTGCCACCACATCTGATGCAGCATCAGCACCTTCACCACTCGCATCACATTCCCCAACAGCAGCCCCACCCACAACCTCCTCCAAAACCTCAGCAGCAGCCACAGGGTCAACAACCCACATCACAACATGGTGCCATTGGGCCTCATCAGCCATCATTATTACTTTCTCCTCCTCAAAGTGCAGGGAGCAGCCACACATTGTCTCCACCTCATCCTCCCCTCCCATCTCCCCTGAAGACTCGTCCACCAGGTACGAGTTTACCTACTTCTCCTACACATATGGCTGCAATGAGGAAGGGAATATACATGCAATACCCTACTCCTCCTTCAAACGAAGGAACAACTCCTCCACCTGCCACACCACATGGTGGGCAAGCAGGAAATGCTGGAATGCACCCAACAACTTTGCCAGACACCTACCTCACCCCATCACCTGACCCAAACTCTCCAGATCAGTGGTCAAGTTCCAGCCCACACAGCCAATCAGACTGGTCAGAACCTGGCCAAAGCCCTGCATATGCTGGGTTGGCTAATCAGACCATGATGCAAGGAAATCAGGCTCATAGACAAGCTGAGGCAGTTTACATCTAATTGAGTGATGGTCTACAGTGGCTGTATTCTAAAGGAGGTGTGCTATGATTATTCTGGGTTGATGGATAACCCATGTGTGAGTTGCAGTGGCCTTGATTTTGTGACTCCCCATGAGATACTCTGGTATAATAATGAATTTTCTGTGTGAAATTAAGATCCATTGCCCTGATGGATGACTTAGATGTGATTCCATTGTGTATGAATCAGTGATCAAAGCAATATTTCAAGTGTGAGATTCTCGTATTCAGCAGGTATTTTTTTGTACTGACTGTCTTGTGTCAATTTCATGTCTTGATGAATGGAACAAACTTCCTAAAACTATTAGTGACATGTCCTTGAGATCAATGAAGCTCTTCTTCCTTGATGCCAAGAAACTTCTGAAAGATCTGACTTCTCCATTTTTCTATCTCATTTTGCTAGCCAAGTGTGAGAATATATTTTGTCTACAGTCATATTCATACAGACAAGCTTCTCTAGATTTACCATGTTTGCTTGTTCTCATTTTTTTTATATTTATGATGGTGTTTATGGATCGAAGTATTTTCTTATGTTGATCTCCAATGTGCTCTGAGCACCATGATGGAACAATGTTATTCAATATATTCCAGCTGCATTTGTATCACTCAAGAATCACAAAAGTTTTGATTCTGTTTTGACTGCTACTGAATTTGAGTTGGTCATTGTTTTATGCATATCACCTCTCTGCTCACCTACATTACTAACTTTTTCAGTGTTGATGTTCCTGGTAAGTGACATTCATGGTTGTTTTGGGGATCAATTCATTTTGCAGAATTTCATTCAACCAATCTAGATCCTTTCCAAATATGTATGTTAAAGTGTTGAATGTGGGATACTCTGGTACTGCACCTAGTGCTTCACTTTGCTCAGATGCTCAGTTTTCCATCCCCATCTTATGCTGGTAATATTCTATGCTTTTCGTGTCTGTCTTTCTTTCTGTTTGATTCTGATGTGCCTTGTTTCTTCCTGTTTGATTCAGATGTGTCTGTAGAATATTAGGCTGAATTATGATGGGAGGGAATGTCATCTGGCCCTGGCTATCATTGAAAGCTTGATCTCTGAGGACTCATTTATGAGTGCATCTTTTATATTTTTGCAAGAATGACGCTTAGCTGTTTGTTTAAGAGATGGCACTTGGACTTAGTTGCAGAGAACTTTTATCATTGTACTTAGTGCATTATGGTAGGAACCTGCCTTGTGATTTTTCGAGAATTCCTATGACATTGTACAAATCTGTTGTGTACATATTCAGGGCCATGGAGAGAGGAGGAAAATGAAAAATAAAGCTCTTCCAAAGTTGGTCAAGAAAAGTCTTTCTTTTGTTGAAAATGGTCAGCCTCACCGAACAGCAACTTCAATATTTAGAACACAATACCTATGTGTTGGAAATGAAGAATGTACCAGGGTGACATGACCCCTGGTTCATTTTTTCCTATTTCTTTCGCTTATCAAGTCAGGCAACTCAAGACAGATATGACTATCAACATTCATGCAGTTACCAATACTTGGTTGACGTCATGTGGTGGGGTTAAGTTCATGGTAACGCACATGGAGGCAGCGGGTCTTATTTTCCAACATTTCAGATTTGGTTGCGTAGGTTCGCACTTAGTCAACGTGCTGGATATGCCTCGGCGAAGTGAAATAGCGTGTTTATAGAGAGCGGAGAACATCAGGAAAGTTAGTTATTGATTTTTCCCCCTATCGGATTCAACTTCAGGCATGCTTGCGCCTAGTTTCCGTGCACGGTCAACTCCGTCGCTTCCTGCTGCAGGGTAAAACCACCTAAGTTCGGACACTGACGTTTATTATTAATAAATACGCATTCGCGAGATCGACATCAGAGAGGCTTCTTTACCGAAGATGACCATGTTGCTAAGCGAAAGACTTGTGGCTTTGATCGTTGAGCACGATTTCGAAATACTGGGCAGAAATGAATGTCATGTCGCGGACAGGAGAAATTCAAGAAAACGTACGGAGACGACTTTACTCGGGATACGCTTCCCACGTGGTATTGCTAATTCTGTAATCAATTATTATTCCACTGGAAACTAGGGAACGTAGAGAACTGCCACAAGGGAATACGCATGCCATGAGCAAGTTTCCACCTTACTTCTGGTGTGTCCAAACTTAAGTTGTGTTCGAACTACATTTTTTCGCATCCAAGTTCGGACACCCACGTAAGTGGAAGCCATGAGGTTTTGATGGTCATCATCTTTATCACACTCATACCTACTTATATTGTGCTGCCGGACGCAAGAAAAGAGGGAATTACCTGGGTTGTACCATTAAGGCATGACGAGTGAATTACAATCCTATCCCGTCTTAACTGTCCGAACATTGGTGGTTTTACCCTACTGATCCCCTGCACGTGGCGTCATCTAATAGAGGTTAGTCCTAAAGGAAGCCCCATAACCTCCTTTGCGTTTAGGAGAGGTTTGGTTAAGATGAAACTGATTTAATATGCGATATAGCATTTGGCGTCCGTGTCATTAACATGACTGCTACTTGTGCTCAGCATGTTCGGTTTTTCCCAAGTTCTACAGCTGTCCAGCTTGCCTTATTTTTGTTGCATTCAATTTTACGTGTCTTCCATGTTATGAGTTTCTGGATTGCCTAGGTTAGGTCCGCAACTAATGCAGCTCTATTTTACTGAGACAGAGGATTACAAGGCATTGATAGGCGACGTAACTCTCTCTTCACTTGATTTTCCTGGCTTTGTCACTTGACGTGTACTATGCTTAATAATGCAAGGTTAGTGGAGCAAGATGCAAAGCTCCCCAAAGGAGATTAAAGCCTGATGGTGTTGCGGAAACGAAACTGCATTGACATAATCTAGCGGACGTGGTCAAATTATTGAAAGTGGTGTACAAAAACGCGATCGCCTTTCCCGTTAGGAGAGAGTACGGTACGGAGTATGGTTATGAAGACAAAAGACTTCCAGTTGCTTCATCTCAGGACCGCAAATTTGGTGGAAACGTAGCTTGCCTTCTTTTACTTCCAAGTTTCAAATTTTTTAAATATATATTCTTTCAAGTCAAGGATATTGCCAATATTCTGCAACATTCAACAAGTCTGACATTTTAAATAGCCAGAAGCACCTGTGCATCGGAAACGAATGTGCAGGGTGGTCCACGATTGTCTCCCCAAAAGTAAAAGCTTATTACTCAGGAAGTATACATCCGATTTCAATGATATATGACTCAAATGATAGCCAATTCAAAATATTTTTACTGTGGAAATTTTCAGCATTCCATAAGAAACTGCAACAAAGTTACACCATGACAAATGAAAGTACCCATATCGTGCAACTAAAGTCTGTAAATATCACAATCCCTTCTGAATTTCGCAATTCATTCGTGGTCTTTTTTAAAATGTATTGTGAGGGATTGCCTGTGTCGTGGGTGACCTCGGTATCCTGAAGAAGACGAATACTGCCATTTGGTTTGATAAATTCAAGAGAGAAAAATTTGTGCGAGGAAAATTTGGAAATTTCTTCATTTTGGGTCCAAGTGACTCAGTTCCTGATGATCATGATCATGAAGGCAATTCAAAAGAGGTTTCTGAACCTGAAGAGATTCATCGGCGGGCCCATGAAAACCTAGATATGCTGAAACAGGCCATTAGAGATGCATTCGTCACAGTAGGACCAGAGATGATTGGAAGAATTCTGCTGGCATTCAAAGAGAGACAGCACCAAGTCATTGACAATTGTGGAAGTCATATTGAACTCTGCTGATTTGGCAGCTTTAATTTGTAAGGATGTAACTTTGTTCTAGTTTTTTATATGATGCTGAAATTTTCCACAGTAAAAATATATTGAATTGGCTATCGTTTGAGTCATATATCATTGAAATCGGATGTATACTTCCTGAGTAATAAGCTTTTACTTTTGAGGAGACATTTGTGGACCACCCTGTAGAATTATGGAAATTTAGATTGAAAGCAGGCAGTAAAAAGCACGTACGTAAAAAATTAAACTCTCTCAAGGCAATACGAGATCTACACAGCACGAAAATGACTGAGCGTTGGATGAAAGAAACTAGCTCTTACGCGAGAGTCCGCAGCGCACTCGACGTGACTCTCATGATTGCATCCCGATCGGCAGATCGGCAGATCTGCATTCCGGCAACATGGACGTGAGCCGGCGGAAGACGAATAGGTCACGGGGTGCCTAGTCCGGCGAATAGAGGGTGGATGACTAATGGTTGCGATTGAGTGACGAGCCAGAAAGTTGGACGCAACGATGGCGCGTGCGCGGGCGTATTGTCCTGCTGCAGCAATCACTTTTTTGGCAAGTTTTTGGCATGCCACTCAATCACTTCCGTCAGAAATCCACCCTTTTCATTGAACTAGGCTCCCTGTAACTTTTTCCACTTCCTGCGTTTCTTCTACGACATCATGTTGAAGAAGCGCAAATCTGTCGATGGGAATGCAATCGTGAATGCCAGAAATGCGCTGCGGACCCTTGTGATCCACGTGAACGGACTGCAGACGTATACACAACGAAGGTTAAGTCCCTATTTAGATTTTAAAAAGCGCGTTATCGTGCAGAGAGACGTCTTTGAAGACGACCATGTCACCTTCGGATTGAAAAGTGCGGATGTCTCCGCGAACGAAAAACTTTCTGAGAACTTTTTAATGGGAACTCGTATTTGACTCATTATCTTGCTTTGCGGTGCTAGAATCAGCAAAGGAAAGAAACATCTTACAGGTAATCTAAAAACAGAGCATTTTGAAAGATGTTGTGAAAAGAAAGAATTGAGCCAATATCAATCAAATATGAAAGCACCTGAGCAGAATAGCGAACTGCTTCTTGAGGTGGAGGCGTTATTCCCTCTATGTCCGCATTTTCTTTATATTCGATGAGTTGATAGTTTTATAACTATTGGATGGGGACGTGGAAGATTTAACTGCACACAGAAAATGCAGTGCCTCAGTTTGATGCACTTTTCTCGCGAAAAAACCTGTCCTCCATGTGATGCATCTTTATAGCATCAAATTTTGGATTCGATAAAAATGCATCACATGGAGGACAACTTTTTTCACGACCTAAATGCATTAATTTGATTCTGCTTGTATAGGTCAGGTGATATGATGCACTTTCGCAGCATCAGAATTTGGCTTGTATGTCCAGCTATACAAGCACCATCAGCACCACTAAAAACGTTCGTGCATTTTCCCAAAATGATGCGCGTGGCATGCCTGATACGGGATCTACAGGGTGACCAGAAAGTCCTGTCCATTTTTGTCCCATATTTTTAACTATATAAATACAAAGGCCCTAGCAATCTTTTCATGCAGTTTTGTTCCCTAACATTATTGTCTATGTGTGTGAAAAGTTTCATTTCCATAGCGTCATTCTTTTGTATTTTTTGATGGATAAGAAAACGCGTACTGCCATCATCCGTTTGCACGAGACAAAAAAGAGTGCAACCAATATCGCAAATAC